GAAAAGTTAAAGGCACTGCCATTGAAGCCTGCCAAGATTACACTATGGACATACTCAGAACAAGTGGTGCCACTGAAGGGCTATGTTCTGGTAAAAGTACAGCTGAGGGACCAGTGTGCCGAACTGCCTCTATAAGTAGTGACAGGCAACTACCCTGCATTATTCAGATGCTCCTGGTGGTGGACTTAGTCCTGAGAGGAAGGACTTGTCACAGAAACTGCCCAGAATTACGCTCTTACCTGTCCCGGAGGTGGGAGTTGTCCATATCAGATGAGTTTTTAATGTGGAGAATTAGAGTTGTTAACCCTCCCCCGTAAAGAGGAAAGATGCTGGAACAAGGGCACCTTGGAATAGGGCGAATTAAAGAAAGAGTGAGGAGTTACTTTTGATGGCCGAATGTGGACTCCCAGATTAAGGAGAAAGCAGGATCACGCAAATCCTGTGCATTAGAAAGGGAGATGCCGCCATTGTTGTTCCTTCATGAGTGAAATCAAGAAGGTCAGATGATAGAAGGGTGGGAATCTCAGTTGAGGGTATTCCAAAGCAGAGAGACTGTGTTGGCCCAGAATTATAAACCTAGAGAAAAACAGATCCCAGTGCTGGTAGTGGCTCAAACTGGACTTTTGTCACATATGATGCAGACTACAGATGAACTGGTCTGGAGGAAACAAAAAACCTGCTGTTCACTGCATGTCACGAATGGGGTGAGGTCCCTCAGAATACTCAGCCTGTCTAGATGGGACCAGTAGTGTCAACGGAGTTATGTGTCCAGCCAGTGTTCGCCATAACCGGGGAGGAAATAGCAGCATCACAGGGCAACAACAGCCAATCAGAGAGGGACGTACCTACAGAACAACATAAGACTACACCAGAAAAGGTTCCTGAGACAAGAGATGGTCTTCTAGGAATTGCCATCCCCCTGAGAGACTTATGCTGTCAATGTGAACTACAAAAGGGTTGTTTCCTTTACCATTGTTTGAAAATATTTCTGGGAATGTACATATGTTAGCTACAATGCTTTTATAACAATCATATTTCTTGGATGTATTGATACGGGCAGTATTGAAATAAAGGGGAGGGGTAATGTGTATGTACTTGGATATGTATTGCCCCTTTAAGAGAGTGGGTCAGCTGATCCAGCACGGGAACTGGGTGAGGCATTCTAAAATCGATTGTGGTGCTGACCGGAATAGAACAAAGTAATCCCTGTTCTAGTTTACCTTGTCTGCCTTGAGTTTTATGGTTCTGGTGAACCACAAACACAATAGGCAGCTCCCAGGATATCTAGTGCAGACCTCTAGAATCTAGCGTCCATGGCCAACGATAAACTGGACATTGATGGAATGGAAGCCTTTTCAGTTGATGAACTGTGCAAGTTGGTAATAGGGCACTCTCCCAGCATCATGGGTGCAGTCTTTTGTGCCCTGCACTTAGGAAGCCAGTGATGTTGGAGCATCTCATTGTTCAAGTTGTTTAACTCTCTTGACATGGTATAAGGTTTTAAACTGTTGTAATCTGGAGAAAATTGCATCTATGACTGTGGATGCACTTGCAGATCAAGAATTTGAAGATCCACAGTTGCTCGTGGTAGGATAAAAATAGAGAGCAGCTGTGAACTTGGCAGTCACCAAGATGGGATGGGCACCCATTCCTTCTGAGAGGAAGACCTGCTTCAGCAGATAATACAGGTGGGGAGGGAAAGATGTCTTTGGTGGTGGGGTCGGATTGCAGATGGCGGAAGTGTCGGAGGATGATGCGTTGGATCCGGAGGTTTTCTGCTCCCAGGATGAGGCATTCCACTCCCGTACATCTCAGTTGTCCTCGTTTTTCAAGGACCGTAACTTCCCCTCCTCGGTGGTCGAGAACGCCCTCAACCGTGTCTCCCACATCTCCCGCACCACATCCCTCACACCCCGTCCATGCAATAAGAACCAAAAAAGAATCCCCCTCGTCCTCACGTACCACCCCACCAACCTCCGGATCCAACGCATCATCCTCCGACACTTCCGCCATCTGCAATCCGACCCCACCACCAAAGACATCTTTCCCTCCCCACC